TAGTTGACATGGTTTAATTTTGTAGATTATTACCTCACGAGGTTGAATCAAAGTTAGAAGTTGTGGCCTTATTCCTAGTGAAATTATCTACTGTACTACTACAGAATCTCCAGGGTTTATCCACAATGTTTATGCATCCTGGATGATGTATAGTGGGTGGGGTGCAAATGTACATTCATGCTTTTCAATACAGAGAAAGGACAACCTCAAAAGAAACTTGTATTTCAAGTTATCTTAACTGAAAGTAAGTGAACTATTGTTTCACATTTGCTCATTCCCTGCCCTTTAGGGAGCACCTCCCTCCTGCTTCCCTCTGGCTCATCATTCCATTATTCCTTCAGTTTCTTTAGTTTTGCAAGCCACATTCTCAAAAATTGGTTCAAAAGATTGGTAAGGGTTTGCATTTTCTAAAAGTCAATGTTTGTTTAAATTCAAATAAAATCTTCTAATAATGTCCCATTTTTTTCTCCTAAACATTAACTTCGGGGTATGTTGGGTGTATTACCTATGGTAATTCTACCATGTTTCCCCAAAAATAAGACAGGTTCTTATTTTCTTTTGACCCCCCAAATAAGTGCTTGGTCTTATTTACGTGGAGATATTATTTTTGAGGTGCAGAAGGTGGTGAGCGTGGTCACCTCATGGCTGCTGCTGTGTTGCAATATATTCGGGGAGGGCTTATTTTAGCACATGTGCTCAAAAGCCCTATTGGGCTTATTATCTGGGGAGGTTTTATTTTTGGGAAAACAGGGCAATTACAAGGAAAATTCACCCCATTGGACAATATTGAAACGTTTGACAAAATACAACCTTGATCCTGTTCCCTTGTAGAAAAGAGTAAAAAAACAAATGTCTTTATTCATGCAATACAACTCTTTGTCTACTCATTTTCCTTGCAAAGACATTTGGACATATCTAGTTAAAAGGCCCCTCAAATATCAAGATACCGTATTTTTTGGAGTATAAGAAACACCTTTTTCTCTCAAAAAAAGAGGCTGAAAATCTGGGTGTGTCTTATACACTGAATACAGCATTTTTGGCCTACCGAAACCCCGTCCCCTTCACCAAAATGGTTGTGCAGAGCTTTTAGGAGGCTTTCAGAGAGCTCCTGGGGGCTGGGGAGGGAAGAAATGAGCAAAAAAGGGCCATTTTTTTGCTCAATTTCCCCCCCCCCCAAGCTCCCAGGAGCACTTTATAAACTTCCTAAAGACTATCCATGCCCCTTTTTTGGCAAAAAAT